AAGGTGGTGAATTAGGGTGAAACTGACTGATAAGAACTCAGATAAAGGTTACCCTTTTGCTAAACGATGTTTCGGTTGGATAAACCCATAGTTAAGATTGTATTTCAAGAACATGTAAACGAACTTTCACAAAATATTTATGAAAGTTTATTTACTTTGGTCAAACATAAATCAAGCTTAAGGGTTTCAGAGGAAAACCAGTAATTACAAGAGAGTTTTCAATGCCAACAGTGACAAGGAATCGAATAACTGGCATAGCCCTATTAAGTTGCTTTAAGCAGAAACTCTTTTTATGTAATTTAAAGTAAAACTTTCCAGTTTTTTAATCACCAAACTTTTTGCTCCCCGAGGTCCGCTGACATTAAAACCACTCCTTCCAAGGATTTAAATAATGCAGGACTCTTATCTAGAATGTATAAAACATTCTGACCGCCGGTCCGTAGAGACAAAAATCTGTCTGGACTGGCAATTTTTTGGTCACTGTTTGGTTTGTCTGCCGTAAGCCATTTAATTTGTGTGCACTGCGATAAGGCGTTAATTATGGAGGGTGCTAAAGAGTTCCAGAATAATGCTGATGGTGCTACTACAAAGCCATAAAGTATGCAACAGTCTGTTGGACAAGTTTTTTGGGGCAAACTTTACTTTAAAAATCTGGTAAAATTCCCAAGTAAATTCTCTGAAAATCTATCACTTTCCACATGTATAATTTTTGGCACTTTTGAACGAATCTGGTCGTTAATCAATTTTATTCACACTCTCTTTGATTTGCCGCCATTTATTTATGCGAGTGGCACGCGTCGTTGAAAAACCGGCGAAACAAAACAAAACAATCCGTAAAAACCGCACGAAAAACTTCCGCCTCCGTCGACGCAACCAAATCAACTGTTTATAGCAGCTTCGAAGAACTGGCTTTTGCCGGGAGTTTTCTTTCCATTCGGGTGGAAAACACACGAACACACCTCGCTCTCTCTGTGGGTTTCTCTTTGCCCTAAATACTCTTAAGAGCTGGGGATCTGTTCCTGCCTCACAACATTATGAACAGCCACCCTCACAATATTTGGGCTTCTAATGTCACCACAAAATGAATAGTCAACAAACCAATATTTAGGGCTCATTATTATTCTTTATATTTGCTGTTAACATTTTAAATGATTTTTTAAGGTTTAAAAAAGTGAATAGAAACCAGCATAAAAAGAAGCTAGAATATAATCTGATATGGCTAATATTTTTGGTCAAATTTTCCAAATTAAAAAATTTTAGAAAATAAATTTATATGCCCAACGAAAATTCTCTTATAGCATTTTTAATTATATTTCTTATTTCTTTTTTATATTCTTAGTTTATTTATTTATTTATATATTTTTTTATTTAAATTTGGTTTTAAAATTTTGGTCAAGCAACAGGAAAAATGCAGCAGGAAAATGCTTAAGAGAGAATGTTCGAGAGAGAAAAGAGCGGCCCACAAGAGAACCAAAGAGCAGGCCACATCGAACTTTAAACAGCAACATGTTTGAAGTACTTTTGGTTGGATTGCTACAGTCTGAGAAATTTTGAATGTTCTTTTCAAGAAAATATAAAATATTTTGGTACCTACCTATATGGGTTTATATTTTTAAGAGTTTCAGAAAAATAAAGACGAAAAATGTTAGACTTTTTTTAGCTTACAGCTTCATACATTTTATAACTTTTCTCATAATCTTAAACTTCATTTTGTCTCAGTGCATTGAGTCACTAGAGATTTGTATGTGTTGTTTGCTTGTTGGTTTGCTGCATTTGGCTGGTCTAAAAATACTTGGCACTTGCACTTCTGAGGAGGAGATGGTGGACGACGAGGGAACCCCACTGAAGTTCAATGCACATGCCCCAGCTGGCTGGGGGTCATCCGAATGCTGAATGGCGAACGGGGAACGAGACCAATTAAGCCAGCTCCAAGTTATTGTTGGCCAGCAAACAAATCGCCGCAATTTAACAAAGTAAGCAATTATGGCAAATAGTTTCGTGTCACATAAACTGTCGCAGAAATAGAGCCAGAGTAGTGGCCTGGCAGAAAGTAAAATTGTTTAATCATTGAGCTTAATTTCAATCGTGGAAACTCGTTTGACGATAAGCCGATCAGGCACACACTTGAGTTGTTGGGATCTAGTTTACGGTGCCGGTTGTTGTGTGTTTTTAATGATACTCTAGTAAAATATAAAAAATAAAACATAATTGCTTACACTTTTACATGTTTTTCGGCAATAAAGAAAGAAAGTTATACATTTAACAGTCAATTTAATTATAGTTTTAAGGAATTCATAGGTTACTACATGAAAAAGTAGATAAAGTTTATGAAAGGAAATATTTCAACCATCTTGGTGAATCCTTTAAATAATAAAAAAGAACTATAAAAGAGCATCCAACCATCGGTTTTTAGCCGCTAACTAACATTGACACTTTTTTTCTTCGTTTATTATTATTTTTTGATCGGCCTGAAGTTTATGGCCAATGCATGCTGGACAGCGTGTCGAAATATGATTGCAATTACTTGGCATGTGCGATGTAGCCCCGAAATCGCAATGATTGAACGGCGAAACGGGTTTCGGATTGAAAGTGTTCGCCGCAGTTTGCAACTATAATTGAAGTTGGGTTTTAGTGTGTCTACGGCCAGAAGTGGGCGGCAAAGAAAGTGGCCGAAAGCGATTAAGTTGTTGCAGACAGCTGGGAGAAAAAAGGTGCAAAGTCTTTGGCTGACTAGATTGCAGCCAAAGCTGATTTTCAAATTGAATTTATTGGAGAGATATTGTCTTGGAATGCCATTGGAGTTCCTGTAGCTGTCATGACTAAAAAGGAGGTAAAAATAATGAAGTAGGTTGGCCTGCAGGTAGTGTTAATTTTGATATATAAAGAAAATACATTCTTATTAAAAGGAAATTTAACAAGTTCCTAATCCGAGAACAGCTTCCACCTTCACTAGAGTTTCTTAAACTATTCCAGAACTTTCTTCTCTCAACTTGTTACATCCACAATCAGTTTAAAAAAACAACATTCCTACCCTCTGCCTCTCCACCAAACAAATAACTAAAACTAGACCCAATAAATCTTTGTTTGGACAAATCCAGAAAGCATGAAAGCCTTTCGCCCGAGTTGCCACACTCACAACATACGGCCATAACCAGATGTAGCTCCAGACTGACTGCCCCACAAGGCAGCCCGGCACCACCCCCTCTAATGCCATTAAGCCCCTGCTCCACCGAAAAAAAACACTAAGCATGCATTTTATTGCCTTTTTGTCGTGGTCCGGGAGAACTTTCGGGGCGGAGAGTAGAGCTCAGCCGGGGCACTTTATCATTTCAATGGCAAACGGCGGACAGTGCAATGTTTACTTTTCATTTTATATAGTCTGTCCCCGGATTCCACCGCCACCCCCTAACATTGTTCACTTGCCCGTCTATCCAATTGTTGGGCTTTCCGTCTATGCAAATATTTTTATTTGCCTTCTGGTTATGGCTGTCCAGCTAGGACAAGCCACAAAAAAATCCGAAGGAAATTTTTTAGATGCCCGCTGACTAAGGCGAGAAATATGTGATCAAACTGGATCTATAATATCTTAAGACCTGGAATTAACAAAATATATAATTACGATTTATGAAGCATTTAAACAAATCTTCACTCTGAAATAGACCCTTCGATTTGAACTTATTTTTAGGAGTTTTCCCTTTACTCAGCAAAAACTAATTAAGAATTAGCTTAGGATCTCTAAAATGAATATAATCTATATAAGCTTTAGATCTCCTTAACTTGAGGGCATCAAAAATGAAACCCACCACTGCTGACAGCAACTCATTCTCCCCTTTTCTCTGAAAAACCAACTAATATTTTGCACATGCTGCCAATTTTCCATGGCTTAGTTTTCCCTCCATCAGCATCCGGGTTAATTCGCAAGCCTTAGTCATCAGCTTAATCAAGTTCCTCAAATAGTTAATGTTCCCGAGGGAGTTAATTACCCGAGTATTTAGCATATAATTGTGGAGTTCACCTGTTTTCATCATGGTCTGTCCGTATCTTGTTTTTCCACCCAATCCTCCCCTCTCCGCTCAGGAAATGCTCCCTGGGGGGCAGGACAAACTTCATGCTCCGCCCATTGGCAATTCAATTTTCCTTTACGAGCAAACAACGACAACAACAGCAAACAGAGGTGGGGAAAACTGTTGGAAAAAGTAATCATCGTTGCAATTGTTTCACATTTTTCACATTGCGGCTCTGAGGGCTAAGGGGAAGATGAATGCCGGCTTTGATGATGTCGATTGAGGTGAGATGGAGGTCCTTTTTGGCCACCCACTACTCATCATGTTGGGCTGGAGGAGAATGCCTGTAGTCGACATTTTCCCAGCTTCCCAATTTTCTTTTCTTATGACTAATGGCCAGCAACTGAAATCGAATTGTGGGACTCGACTGAGAAATCAGCAAACTTAAAGAGTTGCCAAACGCAAGGCCAACCCTTAGCCACCCTAATTTTCCAGGGATTTCTCTTCATTTTTAATAATACACCCAAACGCAGTTACAGGAGAAAAACTCAAAAAAACGAGGGATATATACTCAAGCCTGCTTGAACATGAAAAGCCAGACAACTTGAAGGAGGATGAGCTGTGGTTCTGCGGACATCGTCCGCCAAAAACAAAAGCGAAATTGTCAACTTCCAAAGGCAAGGAAAGGGAAACGCATGTCAAAATTTGCGTGGGCTGTCCGCGGACAAAGGCAAATTCTCTCCGCATGCGGGAAAGTTGTCATCATGGTCTTGGAAGGGATGAAAAACCTACAATTAGAGATTTGAAGGGCGGTTTCCTTCTAAGCCAAATTATGGTTAAGCTAAGGATAAGTTAAAGCCAACTAAAAGTGATCAAAAGAAAGTAAGTACAAAAATGTCAGAAAACGTAGCTTATATGTATTTACAGATCCTATAAGAACAAGTTTTAATTGTCAAATCTTTTAATTTCAAAAAATATCGAAGCTCAAAACCTATCAAAATGAAGTTCGGCAAGACTCTTGATTCCCTAATGGTGCCCCAATGGCGGCATCAGTACATGAACTACAATGTAACTCTAACTGCAGGTCTTCTTAAAACTTTCTAATTTTTTCATTTTAACTTTAAGGAGCTGAAGACCATGATACAGGAAGCGGTGGCTAAGGCCCCGGGTGGTTCTCAGGTCAGCAACGCTGAGGTAGTAGCTTACTACAGGGACTTCGAGAAGCTCTTCTTCGCCACCTGCGAGGATGAGTTGACCAAAGTGAACGAATTTTTCGCCTACAAGCAGGCAGAGGGGCATCGAAAATTGGCAGGTCTTAACTACCAGCTAGTAACCAGGGATCGTCGAAATAACCAACAGGATCCTCCAGAATCGGCAACTTCCGGGGCATCATCCTCGTCTTGGACTCGTCAGTCGGACGACCAGCGAAAGATGCCGTCTGTCAAGAAACTTCAATTGGCCATGAGCGAGTTCTATTTGAGGTAATGGTTCTTGCATTTTCTGACATATTTGGGTTTAGAAAGTATCTGAAATTATAACCTATTTTAGCCTAATAATGCTGCAGAATTACCAAACTCTAAACATGACAGCTTTCCGGAAAATCTGCAAAAAGTACGACAAAAACCTAAAGTCTGAGGCTGGTCTTATTTGGTATGAACGTTACATTCTGACGGCCTCCTTTGTCAATTCCACGCGGTTAGATCGGATGATAGCTACTACTGAGGATCTGTATACCCGATACCTGGCCAATGGAGATCGGTCTAAGGCTATGTCCAAGCTTCGTGTGCCACCATTGGGTCAAGCAACCTCTCCGGTTCATGTGTTCTGCGCTGGCCTCTTTCTGGGCCTCTTTTTGGTAGGAGCTGTGATTTGTTTGATATCTTGTAAGTGGATTATATGATATATAAAGTAATCACTTCACTTTTCTTATATACCCTTAGATTTCGCCCTAGACTTAAACTCAGAGAATCGGTTAGTGTTCATAAGCCTCTTCAGAGGACCCATTTCTGGTGTGTTCTTTGGCTTTTGCCTGGCAATCAATATAAAAATCTATGAAAAGAAGGGCATAGATCATGTCCTGATCTTCGAGGTGGAGCGTAGGAATGCGGTGGGTGCCATGAGAGCCTTGGAAATATCCAGTTTCTTTGGATACCTGTGCACTCTAAGCGTTTTACTGTACTTGCTGCACGAAGAGTTCTTCATGGATAAGCCTTACTATATACCACTGATCCAAGTGGCAATCGTGGTGGTGCTGTTCCTCAATCCCATACACATTGGCTACTACTCAGGCAGGATGTGGCTCATAACCATTGTGGGTCGCATCCTCTTGGCTCCTCTGTTCTTTGTGAGTTTCGTGGACTTTTGGGTGGCGGAACAGTGGACCTCGCTGGTGGTTAGCATTGCGGATCACTATTACCTTATGAGGTTCTATTTTCGCTATTTCCTGGACCGAAAAGATGCCTTTGAGTTTGAACCCGACTATGTGGGAGCTTTCATTCAATGTTTGCCTGCATGGTTTCGATTTTGTCAGAGTCTTCGACGATTTAGGGACAGTGGTTCCAAGTCCACGGATTATCTAATCAATGCCCTGAAATACTTTCTTTATATAATGGAGATCATTATTACCACAATACAAATGCAGAAGAATGGTAAAGTTTACTTTTGTACCTACTAATAATTAAAACAATTCCATTTTCAGCCAATTATAATTCCATTTTTGAGAATCCCTGGACTTGGACTTACATAACAATTTGCCTGGTCTCATCAATATACTCCCTGTTTTGGGACTTTGCTGATGGACTTTGGCTTGTTTAGAGTGTGGAAGGGCGAGAACATCTTCCTACGCGACAATCTAGTCTTTCCCAAGGTAATGTCTTAAACCTTATGAAAACTTCATTCAAAATCTTGAGTTTCCCAGTGGTTCTATTACTTTGTGATTGTGGAAAACACTCTGCTGCGATTTGTTTGGATCTTGGAGTTTTCCTTGGTCTATCAGAAAGTCGTAGCTCCCTATAATGGCCAGTCGATTAAATGTTTCTGTGAGATTTTCCGACGATTCATTTGGAACTGTTTGCGTTTGGAAAACGAACATTTGTATAATTGCGGACAGTTTAGGGCCACTCGGGACATATTTATTACCAGAATTGATCCGCAAGAGGAACGTTTCCTAGAGGATATGATGGATGGCTCTGAGAATCTTGGAAAGGACAAACTAGATAAGAAGTATTTCTAAACTGCTAGGTTTCAAGGTTTCTTCTGAGTTCTTGTTAATAAAATATATAAAGAAGTTCCTAGTTGGATCTAGATCCAGAATATTCCAGGTCGCCACTTCCCCATCTTTCCATGGCTCAATTGGCCATTGGCCACATCTCCCTTTCTAACTCCTCACTCTCACTAACTTCCTGCTTCACTTTCCAACAATCGACAGTCAATGAAGCGTTCAGGCCAGACCCAAGCACAGACTGGCAGGACTTGCTAAACTCGTTCAACTCTCAACACACAAATTGAATAAAATTAATCTCACATTTACGAAATTAAAACCGCAAATGGAATTATAAATTCAGAACAGAGGAGCAGACCATGTGGAAAAAACCAAGCCCGCAGGACAACAAAAGTTAAGCCAGACACGAGGCTGAGGACAACAAGGACATCCCAGCGACCAAGGGACTTGACAATTTGCCAGTAAAGAGTGGTCGGTCGGTCACAGCCATCAGGCAGGCGGGACGAGTGCATTTTCGTGCCGGACCAGGAGAAGGGACATCTCTCCATCCTGGGGGATTGCTTCTTGTTCATGGTCACGCATAAATGCATGCGAATTAGAGAGGACCACAGGAACACACGCACGTGGGCAGATTTATCCGATTCAGAGGGTGGTTATTCAGGGAGCCAACCATGGGAATTTCCTCCCCATTAAAGGACCCCACCATCACCATCTTCTTCTGGGGGTTACTTTCAGGCCAATTCCAGAAGGAAAGCTCGGTTACAACTGCTATAAATACAACATATTGTTGGCATGTCTGCCAAAGCAATTTGCAGTTATAAATGGTGGGAGGCTGTGCGCCCTGGCTTAGTACCGTCATCAGCTGTTCCTGAAATCTTGAGTAAATTTAAAGGGATTCTAGATTCTGGATATAAATTCAAGTGCTTTTCTGGCAATGTCCCTTCTTCTGTTTTAATTATGTGTGCGTCAGTGCAACATGTTGCTCCTGCCAGCAGGTTGTCCCCAACAAATCACAGTCGGGGTTTTGGAAAAAATATAAAACTTGTGAAGTGCCTGGAAATTGGAACTCCCAAAAGCAAAATGCCCAAACCTCTGCTCAAAAAAAACAGAATTTAGTAGCAGCTGCCGTTGTTAAAATGCTTTTGAATTTTGCATTGGAAAAATTCCTGGCAACGAATGTCGCTAATGGTACACAGTGAAAAAAAGGTAGCAAGAAGATTTACAGTATTTAAAAGGTTTTACTAAAAGGTTTGCTAATTTTCAAGATATTTTTTATATTTAAATAACTTTTCTTATACTGAAGATAGCTTTTCCATAAATGTCTCTCCAAATTCATGAAATTTTAAAGTTGCCTGAAAACTTCTTGACTTTTTCCAACTTTTCCTTTGAGTGCAAACATTTTTGGGGTTGCTGTTTTGTCACCGTTATGGATAGCTGGATAGCTGGCGGGGAACCCCCCTTGAGCGTTTGGGTCTAGGTCGCCAGACCGCAGACATTATAAACAATGCTACGGAGTGAAAGTTTTATGGCGCAACTTTAAATGAAGCGCTCGCTGCACCCTCCTGATTGCGTCGCCTGCCGCCTGTCGCCTACCACAAACTAGGCGCAAGGACGACCATAAAAATCCTTTGTAATTTATTTGTCTGCTCGACCGAAAAAGCAAAGGCAAAACATTTCCGTAACGCATTTAAATTTCATAGTCAGTGAAAGTCATCAACACATTCAGGCGGGGTCCTCCTGAGTTAAACGACCGATGCGAAGGATGGGTGGGATGGCGGTGTGGTAAAGAATGGGGCGCCACACAAAAGCTTCCGCTTCCTGTCTGCAACTCCAAGGATTTCCCCGAGGGTTGCAAGCCCGCTCTCCCCGAAGGAAAACCCAGCAAGCCGAAGTCGAAACCGAAGACCTCCCAACAGACATTGGGCAAATAAAGTTTTCTAATTTTGCCATCTTCTTGCTTTGAATTTTTCAGTGAGAGCACTTTGCGGAGTTTTTCCCCTCTGGCTCAGATTTTCCTCTCTTTAAACTTGTAGCACGCCAATTTCTGTTTGGCTTTCTGGAGTTTTTCCTGCCATTTTCCTGATGACATCTGTTCGGGGGTGTCGAGGTGTGAGGCGGAACCCCAAAAGAAAGAAATGCCCAACTCTGCATGTAATTTCCGGCAAACAAACCAATAAATCATATTAAACTTGCTAGGAATTCTAGGAAAACGCCGAAAGGAAATGCGTATTTCGGATGTCTTATGACGGTCTAAGCCAAATTCAAAGGAAATCTCTGACATTGGATATGCAATATTTTAAGTTGTTTGAGGGGGGAAAGCCTTTCGGTTTAGATGGGGAGTTTTAGATTAAAGAAAATTGAGTTACCACTGCGGTGGAGTTTCGATTTTGGAAGAAAGTAGCAGAGCAGAGCAGAGTAGCATTTAAAGTCCAGTAAAATGATTTGAAATTACTAGAATTCAAGCAATTTTACACTCTGCTTAACAACTTTACATCTACTGGTCTCCTTGTGCGAACAATAAACAATGAATAATAAGTTAAAAACTTAATTTACAAATTTAATTTTGTTCTACATTATACTACGAATGGTTGGTGCACGTGCTAAAGCAAGCGCTTAAAGGCTGAATGCTACAATACGAGAAAGGGCACTCAATATAATTTAGGTGTAGATAAAATATACTTATAAAACAGGTAAAATGTATAAAATAAGTAAAATATAAGATGTTAGCATAGTAGAGTTAAAAAGCGCCACCTATAGTAGACGAAAGGCAGCATACACAAAAACTGCCAACGATAGAAAGCTGAATGCTATAAGTGACAGCTGCTTGTAAGGGCCGTAATAAGTAAGTTGTAAAATATAAGTAAAATAAAAAAAGGTATTACAGCTCTAAGACTCAACGATCTGGCAGCACTGTTTTCAAAGCGTCTAAATTACGGAAATGGAAAATTTCACTATTTATGAGTTTTTTCAAGAAAAACAATTAAAATTTTGATTTGCTTGTAATTGTTTTTTTTTTTTTGGTATTTTTTATACAAGCTATATGATTTTATGGAAATTTTATAGTACACATTCTTAATGCTATAAAAATGGCAAAAGACAATCTCAATTTTAAAAAGACCAAAGTTTTTCAAACGTAGTCGTTAATGATTCAAAATGGGATTTTTTAAGTATTTCCGATTGCTGATAAGCGTAAATAAATTAAATTATCTCCGATGAGCTCTGCCTATAAAAGTCGCAAAAGTATGAAACAAATTCAGTTGATTTTTTGCTGTGGCTTGGAAATATTCAAACAAAATGAATTCGAAATTCTTCAAGATATTTGTACCATTACTGATTTTTGATATGCTGCTTCTGGCCAAAGGAAACGCAGTTTCATCCGCGTCAATGTCATGCTATGACGCTGTTTCTGCCATGTGGATGGAACGTTTAGCAACTTGCCGAGCAACTATTACTACCTTGCAAAATCGTTTAGAAAAAGCTGAAAATGAACACTTATTATTGACATCAAATCCATCGGAGGTATTAAGATGCCCCGTGTTCCCCCACAGACGGAATGAAATTTACAAAATAAAGTTCAATGGATTGAGTTACTTTGAAGTTCCGTGCAGAACCGGCGGATGGATGCTTATTCAAAAACGTTTCGACGGCTCCGAGAACTTTGATCTCAGCTGGTCGGACTATAGGAATGGATTCGGCAATATAAATGGTGAATTTTTTATTGGCCTGGAAAAATTGCGCTTTTTGACACTGAACTATCCTAACGAGCTTCTTATCAATCTGAGATTTATTAATGGATCCTCTGCCTATGCTCATTATAATGGGTTTTCAATTCGAAGCGAAGACGAATCATATGCGCTTAGCGTTGGGGAATATTCTGGTACAGCCGGCGACTCCCTAGGACAATATGAGAACAATAAGTTTCAAATTTATGGAAACAATTATGATAAATATCATTCTACGACGTATAGACATGAAACAGGTGGCTGGTGGTCCAAATCCATTAACTCAGAGGTAAGCAAAATCAACTAACAACCACAACAACTTTATAGTTTTAACTTTTTGTCATTGCAGCAACCTCAATGGAAAGTACTTTAACAATGGCATTACTTGGCGTACCTCTCAAGACAACGATTACACAAGTTTTGTAATCCGTGTTGAAATTATGTTCAGGCGTAAGAGGAATGTTGATTTAAAATTTTGAAATATTTCAAAAAATACCCTTCAAGAAACTAAATAAACTGCAGATTATCAGATAAAACTATGTTTTTAGGAAAATTTTTAAAAAATGAACTTACCGGTTCACCATCTCATTGCCGTTTTCCAGTGATTGGGCCAATTGTTGTGGAGTTTGTTGCTGCTGCTGCTGCTGTTGCTGTTCTTGTTGATTCTTATCCTGATGCAGGCTAGATCCTGGAGTCCTCAGACCGCCGCCCACACCGAGCCCAAGAAGAGTCGACGAGGTGCCCACACCGCCACCGCAGCCAACGCCAATGGACTTGGTCTGTTTGGCCTGCTGTTTGAAGCGACTCAAGGCGAAGAAAAGGGCGAGAACGGCTTTCAGGCGACCGGCACAGATGTCATTGGTGGTGATGTTTTCCAAGCCGCCGACCGACTGACTTCGCAGCACATGCAGACACGAGTTGACGTTGTCGAACTAAACGCCGGCGAAGGGGGAAAAACAGAGAAAGAAAAACCGGAATGCAAATGAAATCAAAGCAAGGAAAATGCCAACACTTAAAGCTATTTAAGTACGACGATGATTCATTGTCGGACGGATGAATGGATCACACTGAGCTGCCTAATATAAATGTAAATCCTCGAACTGTTTTTTATCGTTGGGCGCCTTCGGTGTCGTGATTTTGACATGACTCCCAAATGAGGCGCCCCTCCCCCACCCCATAAACACCGATATACAAATGCCTTTTTCATGGCTAATTCGCCGAGGCGTTTTTAACTGCTTCACGCAGACGACACCAGGTCAGAGAAAAACCCTTCGAATCAAACCAAAGCCAAACGAAACGAAACAAAAAATTGACATTAAGATAAAGTGTTCAGACATCAACTGCCCTGCCCCTCTTCAGCGCCCATTCCCATTTGTCAACACCGGGAGAACCTAAGATGACAACTAGCACGACTACGAGATACTCTGGCATCCGGGATTAAAGACCGAAAAGGCTGAGGAAATCTGAAGAACTTAAAAGCTTTTACAAAATGTGATAATGACAAGCATTCTTCTGGTTTTTGTGATAACAAATTGGTTTTGTTTTTGTATTTTAAAGGAAATTATTCATCCAACTGACTCATAGAGCTTACATTCCTTTAAAATGCAGTCAAAAAGATATTTAAGAACAAGACTTGCCACTTTGCTGAGATGCCCACTGGGGGGAAAAGTTTATTGTCAACTCGCTACCGAAAAGCTTAACGAATTTGTCTTTTGTACTATCGCCGAGCACTATATTTCATATTTTTTGCCCACTTTATCACAGTGGTTGCAACAATTTAAAAGACACAAAAAGTACACATGCACTATATAGTTAAATAGAACTGAAAGGCAAATGTCGAAAAATCAAACTTGACAACTGACATGACGGCAGACAAATGACAAACGTCTGCCGGCTGCCGGCTGTGTGCACTCAATTTGCTGGTCGAGAAGTCGAGGAGTCTAGGAGATACTGCTGCGATGAGAGCCGATGGATGCAGCAGCCAAGAGGGTCCAGGAGGTCCAAAGTTATCTATATCCAGATGACAGTGCTGGGGCTGGGCGGGCCAAACTTTAAAAGGCTGCCAAAACTTATATGGCAAAGTTTGTAATAACTTTCAGAGAGACAAAATGCCAGCAACTTTTCGCCCAATGACTTTGGCAAACAATTGAAAAACTCCAATCGCCGATAAGTTCAAGTTCAATGCCGCGCCATTATGCGTATCTAGCAGATACTTTCCACTTGCTACTTGCTCTCCTGTCAACATTAATATTTGGCCAAAGTATCCTTTAGCCGGCTCACTTTGCTCCTCAATTTCTTGCATTATAAATTGAGACAATAAATTTACATTAATTCTTGCCTTTCCCTCTTCCTTTACTTCTTGTTCAGGGGAAGTGGGGCAAGAGTAGAGCTCCTTCTAACGTTCTTATAATTTGTATCTGTTGCTTGTTATCGATTTGCTGTACCTTCTACTGATAGATAAGTTCTGTCAAATGCCACATTAACTTTTGTAGTTGCCGATGAAAGTTTCGCTGTCTTTCGAACAAACTTCAATTATTATTATGTTCCACTAATTGGTAAGAGTTTTAACTTTAGCTACAAAACTTACTAATGAGTTTAAGAAATTGAACAGAAAATTCTCGCTTAACTACTGTCCAATCAATGTGTCTTGTCTTAGATATTGAACTTGTTTGTTGGTAGTTTAACTTAACTTAACTTATCTGATTTTGAAATGGATTTAAATGGATCCAAGCTCTTCCTTAACTTAAAAGAAGTCAAATCCCTTTCGTAACGCATTTTCCGCACCTGAATTTCCCTGCGTTTAATCAACCTGTCTAACTACGATTGAGCCAACAGATCGGATCATTTGTTACGGGCATGTTAATGGGGAACTCCGCCATTAGCTCGCCTTGACAACATCATTTCTCTCCATGGAACCCCGTCTGTTTTTTTACACCCGTTGCGAAGGGGCAAGTACTATCGTTCGATCAATCACGCGCCGCGTTGACACCTGCAAGTGTCAAACAGAGCGGTGCACTTATTTACTATGCTCCGCAATGAACACCGCCCACAGAAGCCACAAAGCCACAGTAGCCCAGTGCACTCAGAGAAAAAGAAAGGAAATCGTTGTATGGATTAAGGTAAGAAAAGGTTTGGGTACTTTATGAATTTAGATATTGAATCCAATCCTAAATACTATCTTTTAATCATTCTAAAATTCCATCTTTTAGGAATAATTTGTTTCGAAACATTCACCACATTTCTCAGTGCCCATACGAGGAACTCAAATCAAGAACACGGCTGTGTGCGGCACAGTTAAGACCCATTGAATCGCGCAGTTGGCGCAGGCAAAGTGCATTGAAGCCCCCGACTTACGTAATATGCAACAAAAGTCAAATAAACCACAATAGATGGCAGCTATGAGAAGGGGGGATAGAGGGTCAGAAAGTGCAACGAGATGCGGCAGCTGTTGGCTCTCTAAAGCAGAAGGCAAACCGCAACTTGAATGCAACGAAAATCGCGAAACCGATACGATACTCCAGCCAAGTCTTGTCGAAGCCGCAGAGTAAGGAGCACCACTCAGGGAAAACCCCAGACAAAAACGGGTTGAGCAGCGAAATATTGGGAAATGTACAGCACGCTCGTGCCTCCTCTTCTGCTTGCAACCTCCTTGCAACCTCCTTGCTCCTTTTTGCCAAAAATAAATAACTGTCGAACAAAAATAAATGCAAATAATATTGTTCACATTGAAGTTGTCAATTGCAGTGGAGAGCGCGAGTCTTATCAATGACCCCTCCAACGAAGGGGTTAACAGTGGTTTAAAAGTGATTTAAAATGAGTTTGTAAGAGAGATTTTGAGAAGACTGTATCATAGTTTTGGGGAAAATAAACATCAATCAATCTAAACTTTCTCTAAAACAAGCACTACTTATGCTATTTAAGATATTTGACATAAAAACAAATCAATATTTACAGAACTTGAGAAAAGAATTCTTTAATTTTAAACTAAAATCTTGAAACCTATTTACTTTTCCGCCTCGCTGGAGCTCTGTAAGCACTGTAACGATATGATGGGACTTTTCAACTCGCCTTCTGTGCGATCGAAAATGAAGACAACAAACTGGCCAAGTGACGCTTATTGTCACAGGAAGCAGTGTCATTAAAGCCAAAATGGGTGGAAAAAGAAGGGGGAGGGAGTGGAGAGGAAAAGGCGGCTCGAAGGGCAGTAGGGAAAGGACGAAAAGGACGAAAAGTACGTGGCTCCTGAGGCAGAAACTGCAGCAGCCATTATTGACATTCTTCGATTTTTCTATCTTTGTGTTTGTGTGCCAAGCGCAGAGAATTTCTGAATTGCACTCGGACAGTGCATTGTTGGTCCTTGGCCATGGCCTGGGAGTCTGTATTTAACTCCCTTTTCATGCCAACAACCCCACCCGACCACCCTCGACCTACCAGCTTCACTCATTTAATGCGAATTTATCGCAGAATGCAATGCTCTTCTTTTCATTTATCCGAGGAGCTCGAGGCTCGAGGCTCCGCCAAAGGATTAAGAGTGGTCAACAAAGACGACGTAAATGAAAAGGCAAACGGAATTGAACGGTCCGGTCTGCGGGCAGGGAAAGTCCTTTGTTAATGGTGCTAAAGAGTTGGTTGGTGGGTTGGTTGGTTGGTTGGTTGGTTGGCCAACAGGACAGTGCAGGACAAGATGTCCAGCCACCGCCAAAGTCAACTTATGCCAACGCTCCCGTTTCGCATGACATTTAATTTAATATTTATTTGTGCATTTCATTTTATTTCATTTGATTTATACACACTTTAAGGCCCATTGCTATAAATCAGTGTAGGCGTCTGCTTCTCCTACCAAAAAAAGCTCGCGGCCAAGCCTCTTTTTTTAATTAACCGCCGGCCAAAGGAATTATAAAAAAAAAAGGATATATATGTGTGTTTTTGTCTGCGATTTCGTCCGACACAACAATATGGTTGTATCTGTGAATCTGTCAGGTGAGCTACCCGAAAATTGAATGGTTTAATCGGTATTTGTTTGGCGAATTAATCACTTAACTGTCGCTGAAAACTGGACCTTTTAGATGCATAAATATATTTTATTTATCTTAAATAAAGTTTATTTTCTAACAAACTAAAAAGTTATTCCTATACTCGACATTAATTTCCTTTAAAAACCCTAAAGTACCGCCATTAAACTTCTCCATTCCGTAATCCCTTTTGTAGACTCAGAACTCTTCTCAAACCAATTAGCAACTAATTAAAAGCTCAGCGTCACACACATTCCCTTCTGTTTGCCTGTCAAGATGGGATCTCAGCTGCAAAACAGACTTCTTGGCATTTGGAAATCAATAACCAAAATCCACACAAATTCTTCGAATCACTCAAAATGAGAAAATTCCAAGGCAATGATAAGCAGACGGGACAGACAGACAGACAGACAATTGCATTCAGACACTCCTCACTCGATTTGGGGAATTCGAGAAATTGGGAATGCGGAAGGGCAGCGGCAAATGGCAAAACAATTTCAATAATTTCGAGTGTCCTTCGTGGCCGACAGGAGTCACTCACAGTCGCACTAGGGTTCGAGAACGATTTCGGACAATTGTCGCCAAAGTCACGACGGGCGATAAGAAATTGCGAAATAAAATAAAAATCAAAAGGGAAATTGCTTGGGGAAGGGCGTGGAACTGGTAGCTAAGACTGGACTGTAAATTCAATTTACGAATGACTGAAAGTGCAACACGCGTGCTGCACAAACAATCTTTCCCCCTTCCTTTTTTTTTGCTTGCCTGAGATGGCCAAGAGGCTAAAGGCCAAAGCGAAATGCGATTTGATTGAAGTGAAGAAATGTAATTGAAATTGCCGGACATATGTGTGTTTGCAGGCAGAGTTGGGGCAGCAGGAGATGCAGCCAGTTTAATTTGGCAAGTGCAATCGAGTGAAAGTT